AGCACCCAAACCCCTTCTTTCTTCCAACATATTCATTCAGATTGGACGTATAAATTGTATCTTACTCATAAAGACAGAGCTACCCAGCCAATAGCTCAGTGGTGTGAATTGGCTTAATGCTTCTAAAGTCCATGGTATGCCCCTGGTTGTTCCCCATGGACCCATCATGGTGAACACACCCTGCACCCTCTTATGGCCAGGGTGGTTATTTTACCCTCTCAGCTATCTTTTTCTCTAGTTGCTCCCCAGCCTTATCCCACTGTCTTCTTTCCTGTGTCCTGGGTGTGAATAAACCCCAAGACCATGTCACTAGTGGATGACAGTGACCCTCGAGAGGGCTGGCTGTGGGCTGAGCACTGCTCCAGTCAAGCGTGCAGCAGGCTTCCCATGGACTTCAAGGGAGCATCCAAGGGCACTGCCTCTGAATTGAAAATGGCAAGGATAGAAAAGACCTGCTAGGGCACATCCCATCCTATCTTCCTGCCAAAGAAGGGCTCTTCTGCACAGGAATATGTCTCAAGAGCATTCATCTTCAGCCCCTGCCAGCCTGGGGATCACTGATAAGACCCATGAGACTCTGCAGAGCCCTTCTCAGACACAACCAACAGACATCCTTTGGCTGAAGCCCTGGTTCCTGCTGGTCCCAGCCCACTATTATGCTGACCTCCCAGTGCTGAGGATAGTGCCAGTATGCTTTGCTTTCTAGCAGACAGCTGCATTCCTTCGGATCAGTGTGAAATTTCAGTTGCAGTTCCTTCCTAATTCCTTTTAATCACTGCAAATATTGCAGGATAGATGGTGAGCTGCGCTGCCGCCCGGCAGAAACCAGTGGGGTCAGATAAGGGATTGTCATTAACTGCAAGGGAACTTGAGCTCTCCCCTGCTTCCCTTGGGCTCTGAATGGATCTGCTCAGCTCCTGTCTTCACAGCTCTCCCACCAAAGCACTGGTGTTTATTCATTTCAGGCGTGATGAGCAAGAAGGTCATGGAAGGAAAGGGCTTGATACTCACCAGGAGTGCGATGGATGCCTGCTCACATTACCTCCTGATGAAAATCTATGTACCATGGGAGCTGGGAGGGTTACATCTGCGTGGCCACACCAGCATCAGGCATTCTTCCTATTTCTAGGATGCTTGCTTTGGTTTGGGTTGGATGTCGAAGATTCTTGGCATCCAGGTGTGTCATCGATACCCTTCACTCCAGCTTATGCAAATCTATATCCTCTTCTCTATTGGCTTTATGTTAAAGAAGGAATAAAATCAAAGTTCACTTTCTTACACCACCCCACACATACACTTGGGGAAGCTTTGTATCTGGATCTGAACTAAGTGGCTCATTCCTCTCTCAATTTCCCATGTTTAATTCAAAAGGAAACATTAAAATGGCAGGAGCTGAGCCAAGACAGGGAGGGTTCAGATGAAATAGTTATTCTAACACTGTAACCATGGCAAAACTCTTACGTCCTAGTACTGGTGCCCTGCACCCATCACAATGGTATCTGAGCTGCTCAAGGTGAACCTCTTCCCATGGATGCATGAGGCAGCTCCAGTTTGGACTTTGCTGGAGCATGTTGGAAGAGTGTTGTGTAATCCCAGTCAAGGGCTTTGTCAGCTGTGTTAGCACTGAGATCTTTCTTGCAATTAGTAGCAAACGTCCTACGGAACAGTTTGTGTTTTATTTTGTTCCTTCTTCTTGGTTTTGGGTTGTTTTGGGATGGTTTTTTTTATAACACAAAAAAAAAGAGCAAAACAGATGAGGAAAAAAAAGACTTCTGCCTTCTTATGTTGTAACTGGACAGCGTCTGTGCATCAGCCTCAAGGACTTCGTGGTCTATTTTCCTTCCACTCGATTTAACTTCCTTCTTGCTCTAATTCTGAAATTATTCCCACATTTCACTGAATCCTTCCATTCCAGTTTCCATCTTGCTTTGTTCTTCTCACGCTGCTGTTTGATCTGGGATCTCCACTGTTACACTGGGTGTTCCTGCAGCCTGGAGCTCTTGCTTTCAAAATAACTCTCAGTTTGTTGCATCTGGGGGCCAGGTATTGCGGTCTGAGGGCAAGCACAGTTGGTGCGTGCATTGTGCTGCAGAAGTGAAGATGAGTATTTAGAGAGAGATTTTGTCTGTCAAAAAGGGGCCGTTTGTGCTCTTTTCCAGCATGTCCATGGAAATGGACTCCAGCCATTTCCAGCCACCCCACTGATTCACTATGGAGAGATGGGGACAGCCCTCAGCCTTGCCTTTTCCTTGACTGCCAGCTTTGGAAAGGGGGTCTTACAGAGTGTATCTTGAATCCCATGGGACCCAGTGATGTTTCCAGCAGGAGGAACGTGGAAGTAGCCCTGTCCCTTTTGGGTTGGTGTTACCAGCAGAGTTTTTGCTTTGTGCAGCTGCAACCTGAGGAGAATGCAGCAGTGACACTGGGTATTCCCAGGGAATAAATAGATTCCCTGCTCATTGCAGGGAGGGGTTGGACTAGGTGACCTCCAAAGGTCCCTTCCAAACCAAACTATTCAATGATTCATTGCCTCATCAGGGGTAGCAGGAGCAAATTGTATGTATAAAAAAAAGGCTCTTTGAGGCCTTTTGGCTTGCTTCTGGAAAGGTTGGATACTGGTGGGCACCTCGACTGTAGCATACAAGTCAGTTGGCCCATAGTGTCAACAGTGTTAAAATCCCTGTGAATAAGGATGATCCAACCAATTGTAGTTGGTTTGGATTTCCATAAGTATTATGGCAGAGCTCCTCCCCTAGAAGTGCTTGAAGAAACTGAGCATCTTGGACAGGAGTGTGGGTTAGTGACTGGTGAACAGGCAGAGGATGGAGGAAAGGGAAAAAGGGCTAGTTTCTACGGGGAGGGAACTCATGAGTAGACAAACTGAGGTCTTACTCTGATCTTAGTGCTGCTTCAAGCGGGAAGTTGGGTTGGGGATCTCAAAAGTCCCACTGTCTGACACTGTGTGAGCTGTGCTGCTGAGTGTGTTTGCAAATGACCTGGAAAAGTGGGTGAGCAGTGCAATGGGAAGTTTGCTGGCAATACTCCACCAAAAGGTGCTGCTATTCGCTAAAGGTAGCAGAGGTAAGAAGAATTGCAGAGGGACTTTATGACTGTGAGTGACTAGGTAATAATATGGCAGATTAAACAAATACAATGTAGATAAAGTGATGCATATGGGAAAACAAACAGATTCCACATATGCAGCAACAGACCCTGAGCTGACCAGTATCTTGGAGAAGAGAGACCTCAGGGTTTCTATAGATGGTTCAACAGAAGTCTCATGTCAATGCCTGGCAGTGGTCACAAATCAGATCAGGAGTTAAGAGAAAAGGACTATTAAACAGAGAACATAGCATCTATTAGATAGATGCATCCACAGAGCACCCACAACATGAATACCATGCATTGTTCTAATCCTCTCAGCTCCAAAAGGACTAGCAAAAGTTCAGGGAAGAGCAGCAAGGGCCATCAAAGGTATGGAATGGCTTCCACACACCCATCTGCTAAGGTGGTTTGATCTTTTTCTCCTGGAAAAGATGCTGAAGGGATGGTGGAGGACAAAAAAACGTGCGTTACAATAGAGGTGAATAAGTCTGTTGTCCTCTATTCATGTACAGGATCTGGGGGGCTTCAGGTGAAGACTGGAAGAGCCAAGTTCAACATAAAGCAAACTTTGCAAAAGAATGTTGTGGGTGCTCAAAATTGGCAGGGGTTCAGCTTATCAGACTAATTTATGGGCAAAAACCATCTATCATGGTTGTTGGATACTGGGAAGACACATCTAGCTGAGGTCATGGAGCTGAGGTTAGTTGGAGCCAGGCGGAATACCTGAGGAGCGTATTGGAGAAAAGCTGAGGCATGGGCATGGCAAGAAGCATTAAAAACTCTCCAACCCTAAACAGAGCATGACACCCTAGAGGGATGAGGAAGATGGAGACTGGTATGGAGGCAGATGGTAGAGGGACACTGCGGTATTCCAGTGATTGATGTAGTATGAAAACCTAGGATTGACGGGCGGTCAGACAACATGAGTGGCTAGGATGGATTTCAGATAAATGCCCGGCTCCAGTTTCCCGTAGGCGATAGGCTCCTGTGCATTAAAGGCTCAATGACCTTTAGCAATTTTGCAAACTAGCAAGCGGGGCCCCGGGCCTATTGAACTCAGGGGAAGATCCCTCTTTAAGCTGGACACGTTGAAGCTGTGTGTGCAAAACTGAGCCTATACGTAGGGCTTTGGTGGGTCACGATCGGAAAGCAGTCCAGCCCTGTGCAGCAGGAAACGTATGCTGCTCAGTTATTTAGGCACACACTGTTTAGTTTGAATTGTTTGAATGCTTCACATTACACTAGGAACCTTCAAGGGTAAAGAAATAAATTGCATCAGATGTGGCCAGAGCCCTGAACCAGGCTCTGAACTGGGAGGTGAGGTACCGTGATGGGTTGTTTCGGCAGGTAGGAATTACAGCCTCCAAGTCCTGCTCCTACAACAGCACTGTGGTTTTGCATGGGCTGGAAGTCATGAGTGATGCTGTTTGAGCACAAACCCACCAGGTTGTGATATATTTGCTCATACCCCCCTTAGTGCCTTATTTTGCAAGACCTACAATGGCATTGGAGCTACTTGCAGGAGTAAGTTACTCAAGATGAATAACTGGGTGGCATGGGGATTGTAGATTCCTGAGACAAACAGGGCCTCTGAGAAGCAGCCTGAGCAGCAGGCAGACATCCCAGGCCGTATCCTGCCATCACACTTTAAGCAGAACTGCCCTGCTGAAATCAAGAGGCTTCGTGCTGCTTTCATCCCCATGGAGAGCAGCGGGGGAGTTCTTCTTAAAAACCTGTTGGGACCATATGGCCTTTTATCGCTGGAGTTCCTATTTATGTTAAAAACTGCTAAGAAAATAACCTACAGTTGTTTTGCCATGCCTCAAGCAAGATATTTTGTTTATCTGGCCTAATTTTTAATTAATTCTTCTTTTTTTCCCTGTTACCCTTTCTAGGTTCCCTGCTATTCTTATGGTCAAAAGTTGTCCAAACTGGCCATCTTGAGAATAGCCTGTAACTATATCCTTTCCCTGGCCAGACTAGCAGACCTGGATTACAGTGCTGACCACAGTAACATGAGCTTCTCTGAATGCGTGGAGCAGTGCACTAGGACCTTACAAGCAGAAGGAAGATCTAAAAAAAGGAAGGTATGTTACAGCCTCCCCCAACGCCCCCCAAATAACGGGAAAAGTTACAAAAGGGGGAAAAATAAGGAAATAAAAAGGAGGAATCCAAAGGGGGTTCCTTCCTTTCCCAATCTCTTGGATATTTCCTGGGTTTTTTTCATCCCTTGCCTTTCCCTCTTGCTTTCTCTCCTCCATCTGTCTGATCTTGTAATAACTGCATTCCTCTCTAATCAAAAGCTTTTCTCTCCTCCCCGTCCTCCGCGCTGGGCTCTTCCTCTCGTTAGTGGCCCATCGTGTGTTTAAACATGAGCATGATCCTATTAGAGTCATCTTGGGGCTGTTACTTGTTAAACCAAACCAACCTTGAGCTGCCTTTTGGAGCCCATAAAAACACGGTCGCCCGCCTGTGTTTTCTGTTTTGTTTAATCTAACACTTATCTCCGAGAAAAATCGCCCCGACGACAACAAAAAAGTGGCTAATGGAGACGTTGTATGTATAAACACATTAGTAAGATGTATGACCTGAAGGACATGTGGGTATCTTGAGGAAACAACGTTAAATCTAATTACGCCCCACATTCCTTTAGGTTACTTAACACTGAACCAATTAGGTGAAATCATCGTCAAGCGGCGGGAGGAGGAAGCGGAGCGCTCTGCCAGTTTTCCTCTCGGAGAGTGACATGGGTGAATTAAAGGAGTGATTGATGTCTTTGTTCAGGCTTTTATGACAAAAAGAGTTTTGTAAACTTGAATTGAACTTCCCCCTGCATTCTGGGCCTGCTTGTCAGGCGGGATAATAAATCAGCAGGATTTTAATGGATGAATGGGCAGCTGAGCCGGGGAGCAGGCTCCTTCCCCGGTGTCATTAAGATCTGCCTCCAATTCGGGCAGGTTTCCTCACTTTTCGTCCTCTTTAGCCCAACAAATCATCCTACAACAATTTAGTTTATAAATAAGCACAATAGCACACTCCCTGTCGCTTCCTCTCACTGTCATGGTCTGTGTTTATGCCCCTGGAGCAGCAGTGCCAGGCAGACGCAGCACTGCTTGACCACAGCCAACAGCACTGGCCGAAACTGGAAAGTGCATGGGGAGCTCCTGGGCATAGCCCAGAATTTGGGGTTCATTGTGGGGTCCATAGTGCCACAGGCAGTGGTGTCCCAGGGACGCTGATGTGATGCCACTAACCCTAGGGCAAGGTGAGAGTTGGGTCTTAGGTCCCCCCAAGCCGAGATAGAAGAGGATAAGCATCCTTCCTGGGGCTTCAGCAGATTGCTAGTGGAGCCTTGGGTCAAGTCAAGATGGAAGAGGAGGATGAGCATCCCTTTTGGGGCTTCAGTAGATTTCTGAGTGGGTCTTCAGGCTTTTGAGTGCCCAGTGAGCTGAGACTCATTATCCTGGCTTATGTAAACCAAAGCAAGCTTGAAGACAAAATGCAGAGCCAGATTTCAAATGGCTCCAAATCCCAGAGAGTTCACATCTGAGGGCTAGGGCTGGATCCATCTTTAATGAAAAAAATTAAATTAAGAATTAAAAGCCTTCCATTTATGGCATTTGTTCTCTAAAGTTTGCTCTGGAGCATATGTGTGGAGAAAAGCCCCAAACCCATTGAGAGCGCATGAACAATGAAACTCTAATAGGCACATCCTGCCTCCCAATGGGTCACCACTGACACACAGAAACAGCATTACTAGGACAAAATCTGCCTTATCTCCATGTTCTTGAAGGAAACCCATCCTAACCCTTCCCCAGAGGCCCTATCCAAAAAGAAAGCTGGGCTTTGTACCTGAGGCAAGGTCTTGGTCCCTGCTCTGCCTTGCTTTTCTTTCTGTAATGTGTCTTGCATATGTACTTCTGCTGCTTGGGAAAATCCAAGTTTAGGGCATCCTGTGGATTCCCCTGGCTGATAGGTGTGATTTTGTCTCCAGCTATATTTGCTCAGGTGATTGCAAGAGCACACGCAGCTGATGAGGAACCCAAACCCCGTAGGTACCAAACCCAGTAGTAATTCCTGGTAGGTGGGAGTGGGGATGCAAAACCTGTGCTGGGAGAACTCATCTTGGTATCTCCCTTTCTTCTTGAGCCAAGCAACTCAATGGCATCATGAGCACAAGGAAGGGAAGTCATAGATCCAGGATGGCTGTGCGGGGAAGATCCAGGCTCTGGATGTCAGGTGGTGAAGGGATGTCTCTCCTGGGGGGTCTCACATGGGCAGCTGGATGAGGATGCAATGCCTTGGCCCCAAATCACCGCGCCCTCATTCATTTGGACATAGTCACGTTTTTACTAAGCTCTGTGTGTTTTTAATCAGTTCTCCCAAACCACTGCTCACTGAGCAGTTCCTCCGAGTTACCGACCTTGGGGTGGTTGTTGTGTTTGTGGTGGTGTTGTTTCGGGGGTTTCCTTTTTTAGTGTCTCTTAAAAAGACTCACAGCAAGCCCGAGCACAGACCTCTGCTCCTTGAGCTCTACCGCTGGGTCCACAGCACCCTTATCTCCTGTCATCTCCATTTTATTGTGTCTCTTCCTTTATCACTCACTCTCTCAGCTCCCTGATTGCGATGTGCTGTGGCACCGTGAGCTTTTCACACTAAAAAGTAGCTGGTTGGAGTTTGTTTTGGCAGGCAGGGGCTCCAGATGTTGCCTTAGCTGGATCGTGCGTCTCCTTTTGCTTTGTTTTTGAGGGCAGATTATCTGTTGTCCTTAACGTTGGGTTGTTGTTCAGACTTTGCTGTTGCAATGTGAAGCGTATATGGGTGTTTTTCCCCTCTTTCCACTCCATGTTGTTAAATAGAAAAGTTGTCTTTAGCCTTTCAAACTTGACTGGGGGGGGAAAAAGCCCTCCCTTCCAGCCCTAACTATAGTTATACGGTGATTTTAGTTGTTGCAACTGAGACTTGACTGAGGGTGTTTGGTGATGGGAGATCTCATTTATAAGCAGCAAAGGGGGTAATTGAAGGTCTTCAAATGCCTTTTCCTTTAAAAAACAAAAGCTGCATGGGGGGTGGTGAATTCTGATGATTGTCTTCATTTTTTAAGGATTCCTTTGGCTTGATTATACAAGTGATCCGAACTAAGCCTCTTCACCATGCTTGCAGGAGTCGCGCCACATTGGAGATGTGGGTTGTGGCACCCTCAGCAGAGCCCTGAACCCTGCTGGGGCCACACTGATGCCCTGGGAAGAGGGGGGGACCTGCCCTTGGCTTCAGCCAAGAGCATCCTCCAGCAGCAGCTGGGGACACACCAGGGGAAGGAGGTGGCTCAGAAGGGGGAATTCAAGTTCCTTCATCCCTGGTGTACCCCATTTCTGCATGGGACATGATCCTGAGTGGCAGGAGGTTGCCTGAAAGCCTCGCACAGATTTTGTGCACGTTTGGGTCCAGCCCGCTCTTTGCACACTCTCCTTTTATAGCCTTTTCCCAGCAGAGCCAAACTGTGGTGCCCTGCAGGAAGGCAGCGCGATGGCCCGGGGTCGGATCAGGGTGCATGGCCCCGTGCTCTCCCTAGACACCAGTATTTTTGTGGGTGCACAGGTGTGTGCCGCAGCCCCCCACATCCCACGGGATCCAGGCAGCATAACCACAGCCCTTCACAGAGCAGGATCCGACTGCTAATACCCTTATAAAACACCCCCAGCACTGAACAGACCCCGCCCCCCCGGTGCTAAAAAAGCCCACCCCATTCTCCCATGGTGAGGTTCATTCTCTTTGCCTTCCCCTCTCCCCTCTTTGCCTTTGCTTAGCCCCCGTGCTAGGCAGCAACATCGCCGCGGCCATGGGAGCTAAGCCGGAGCGGGGAGCGACGGGTGAGGGATTTTTTTCTCCTCATCCTCCCCCCGTCCAGGCTCTTCTGGCAGTCGCAGACTCCAGATGTTCGGAGCGCGAGCTGGGAAGTCCTGCTGGCGCCACTTGGGGCAGAGGGCAGGGGAAAGGCACGCGAGCTGGAACCCGGAGTACTCAGTCACTGCAGGACTTGGCGCATTCCCCAGCTCGCTGCTGGCACATTCCCCAGCTCTCTCCTGGCCATCTGTTCCAAAAAAACACTTTCAGAACCTCATCATCACTCAGGATACAACACTGCGAGCAGCTGTTAGCGAGGCAGAAGGGAAAAAAAATAACACACACACACTGCAAAGAAAAAAAAAACCCCAAACCATGCGAAAGGTCTCTTTGTGAGAGAGGAAACTGGGTTATGAATAACAGGCGAGCAGTTGGAGCTCAATAAAAGTCTTCGGCTGGAATTTGGTTTCTTGGGTTGGTGCCTGTGTGTGTGGATGCGCACAGACGCAAGGAATTAAACATTAAAAATGCTCTTTATATATACATATGTATTCCCTGATAATTAAATGATAGAGGAGCGTATATGGAATGAAAAGCCATTCTGTTGGTTGCGCTAAAAGGGCTCGCGTTATGTATGTAATTACTGCATTATATAAAACAGTTATTGTGGTGTTCTGCCGTGCCTTGATGCCGCCTCATTGCCACTTTGCTAAAAGCGGAATTCCCACTGTAGGTAACACTTATTCCCATTGGAAAACTCAAAGGAGGGCTTTCTGCGGCATATTTACTTCCAGGAGTGACCAGGTTTTATGTTATAGAAGAGAAATGGAAGCGGCAGGCTTGATTTGTATGGCACTGAAACCGTTCGCCTGGAGCATATTTTTTCACTAACACGGTATCATGGCTTGTGATTTATTTAGACAGAGCCCCGAGATAAAGCCACAGCTCCCACCCCCTGGCTTGAGCAGATGATCCCGTCTGCCGGGGCTTGCTCTTATTGATCATCTGATATTGATTATTAGAACACATTTGGAGCCAGCACAGTAAAAAGTCTTGAGGATCTGCATGGCATTTCTTTCCCGTCCTGTGTGGGGAGAGGGGGGTCTGATAATGAGGTTTGAGCTCCCTTTCCCTGCAGTTCGACTTAGCAGAGGTTCCTCTTTAAAAATAGCTTCATTTCCCTGCTAGGACTTGCAGGCGCGAGCGGGCAGCCAGCCAGTCTGCTTCCCCACGGCCGCCAGCTCCATGGGCCCCGGGGAGGAGCTGGACCACAGGAGAGCAGCGTCCCGCTTTGGAGCCGTCCGTCTGCCTGCAGGACAGCGGGATGGCAGCATCCCTATGGGGGGGGGGGGGGGGGGAGATCCGCCTGGCCACGAGTTATCCCTGCCCTGTGCTGCCTGAAGGATTCCACACCCAGGGAACAGACCTGCTTAAGAATAAGATGGTGGGGCAATAGTGAGGGTGCGTAAGAGCTGTAGTGGATTCCTGTGCTTATTCTTTGTGTTACATACGTCCCCGCAATCCGAAACAACAATTGCAAATAGGACATGAGTGTGAGGCTAAGGGCTCATGATAAAGCCCTTTCCAACCCTAACTATTCTGTGATTCTGTGTTCATCCAACGCTGGGCAGGGAGGCAGCATCAGCTACATGCTTCCCTGAGGGCACTGCACACTCCGTGTTGACCCATTTGGGGACTGAGCATCGATATCCCAAAGAGAAGGGCTGAAAGCTTCTCCTTGCAAAAGGGACGTGATGTGGACCCCACTATTGCGTGACAGCACCACAAACCCCTCTTTGCTTTAAAAGGGGTGTTGGAGCAGCCACAGTACAGCATGCAAAGGCTGGGGCCTGGGATTCATACCCACAGTGGGAACAGGGTCCCAGCGAAGGATCCGTTCCCTTAGTAGCAAGGGTATTACCAAGAATAGGGTAAGATCCACCCCACAGATATCAGGTAACTACAGCAAAAGGAAAATGTGAGTAGAAGAGACAGGAGAAGCCCTGGAACAAAGGCTGACTCAATTCCAGAAGTGCTTTGATTTATAGAGGTTGAAATGCTCCGGGATGCTGCAAACTCACCAAGGTCATTGGGCCAGTTGTCAAATTCAAGAGCCATGGGACTTCTGATATTATTAGTTTAAAGCAGACCCTGGTTAATAAATCTGTCTTCAACACTCCTGGCTGGAGTGGGAAAGGGTGGAGGGAGAAAGAAAGGAGCCTGTTCCCACCTAACATAACCCATGGCCAGCACTGGGCAGAGCCTTGGGACCAGTTGAGCATGCCAGCAAGGTCTGCTGAGCTCCATCTCGTGTTGCAGAGGGATCTCTCCATTCCCTTTCCATTTCATCCGCCTGGAAGGTATGGCATGGTTGCCCTTACCTGCCCTTGGCTGGTTTGTACATATTCCCTCTTCTCCCTCCATGGCTGATCTTCCCCAACTGCAAAGACTTCAGAGCAGAGACCTGCCACTGAGGCTCCTCTTCCTAAGTCCCAAAACACACCAGTGCTTTTTATCAGCATTGAGCACCTTGAGCTAAAGGGTAGGGTCTCACTGAATGAACACAGGAGGTGTTAACTGCAGTTCAGGTCCTATTTGTTCAGCACTTTAAAGAGCACCAGAGGCACAAGAGGGGACGAGGCGCCCTGTGACTCCGATGGCTTTGGCTTAGGGCATAAGGCTGCTATTGCTGGGTAATTCGTTCCTGCCGTGGAAAAGGTTTTGCTTGCTAGGACTGCTGTTCCAGACAGGAACAGGGGGGATTTGTCTCTCTACTGTCTTTTAATATTAATGAGAGTGGTCATTTCTTCCCTCCTTTTTCTTCTTTTACATTTCTTTCCATGTGGGACAAATTAAAGCACTGACTTTTTCTATTACAGGTTATTAATATATATTATTTATTGTTGGAGAATAATTTCAGGGGTCTCCAAACAGAAACAGAAACGTTTGCGATACACAAGGCTGTTTGTTGTTCTCCTATCTAAACCTCATTTATTCAAAATCCCAAATCCCAATTAAAGCCTTGAATTAGGGCAATAGTTCATATGTTCTGCTTCACACAGCACTAAGTAGTGTCTTACAGTCAGCAGAGGTGCCTCCTTATTGATAATAATTGCAATAATGAGCTCTGTTTTCAGGTTTGGTGCGTGCCAGATGTGAAGAGTTCATTATTGCTTACGCAGGAGAGGAACCAATTTGGGCTGGGACCAGTGCAGTGACGTTTATCCGGGGACTTTGTTATTGCTGGAATGAGCTGGGATGTGCTGGGGTACAGCCAGCCGAAGGCTCCATCCTGTCCTTCAGCAGACCTGAATGGCCAAACCCTCCTCCATGTATCCAGATGTGCTGACCCCAGCTCCAGGATCAAGGGTTCAGCAGAGACCTGCATTTCTTGCATGGAGGTTGACCTAGGCCCTTTCAGTGCTCTTTCTGAGGGAAATCCTGATGGTCCTGGGGCGATCCTGTGCTTTCCAGGGTGTGCACTGTGCAGGAAGGGATGGCAAGGTGGATTTTGGGCCTCTCTGCCCCTTAGCTTGGCACGGATGATCAGCTGTGATGGTTGGTCTCCCTACTGATAGTAATCAAATAAATAAAACCATAAAATAGGCATCAGTTAGTAATATTTTATACGTTAATGTTACTATATCTAATAATGGAAAAGAAGAGGCAGTACAGAAAGAAAACAGATTCAGGAAAAACTGTTTTTCAGGCCAAGCTTTAAGGAGTTTGACCTTTTTGTGGTTCTCAGAAGGATGGCTGATCTATCCAGGGAATTGATGACCGTGTCCAAAGGGCCTTCAGAGGCTGTACTGCACCCTGAAGGGCTCTTAAATCCACTGGCAGAAAGCGAGAAACAGTGGTTGGACTCCACAAATGGGATTTCGTTTCCAAGTTTCTAATTCTAACTTACTTAAAGAAGGATTTAGGAGCCCACGTGATGAAGGCAGTTTGGACAACGGAGATGTGATCTCATGAAAGAGCAGGCCCTGAGGATTTTACCCTGTTTTGAACTACGCTAACGACTGTTTGTGGGATATTCACAGAGCTTATTTTAATGTTAAAAGGGACTTAGATGAGGTTTTTCCCTGCCTGGAGCTTCTGTGCTTTGGAGTTGTATGTTTTCCAATGGATGTGGCCATAATACTCTCTAGCCAAATCCTGTTATCCCAGTACATCTGCCACAGCCATGACGTGCAGTGTGATCACAGACACAAGGAACAGGTTGCAGTCCTTTAGGCTGAGAAGCCATACATGCTGGATAGTGAATGGGATAACTAAAATAGAGACATAAACCCCATCTCCTGCACAAATACCCTTTGCTTTCTAAAATCAGCTTCTGAAGCTGAAAATATACCCCAAAAATCTGCAGGTCTTGTCAAAAGCAGGTGTTTGCCATCATTTCTAATTGTGGCAGGAGCTGCAGCCCACACCTTGTATTTCCACCCTAAGCCTTCCTCACCCCTCTGTCTGCTAGTCCTTCTGTTCTCTATGGGTTCTGGCCACTGTTGTGGCATCTACAGGGGGTTGCTCTGCAAGCCCAACTCTTAAAGGTCTTCATACCCATGGCCAATGGTCCCCAAGGACAACCCAGTGTGAGTCAAGGCGATCGTTGTTGCAAGGAGCCACCAGGACACCATGTGTTCACTGTTCTGATGGTGCATCTTTCTCTTTCCAGGAGTAGTAACAAGGAGGGGAGGATTCAGAAGAGCTTCCAGCCAGAGTTACATCTGTTCTTGGCAAAGGTTGCACGATCCAGATGAAGACTGCAAGCAGCATTTTTGCTGAAACCCCTTTTCGAGATGACAGTTGGCCAAGGAACTTTCTTAATCTCTGGAACAGAAAGGAGAAAAGGAAAAGGAGGAAACAAAAACCAAACAAGGACAGGGATGCTTCTTATTGTTGTTAAGCCAGCCACCTTTTAGTACGTGCAATTTATTTAGCACTTTTCCCTTTGCTTAACTGGGAAATGTTACCCTCTCAGCTCATGTGTACAGTAATTTGTTGTTGTTGTTGTTGCTGTTGTGCCAAAGATTTGATGGAGCTTCTACACTGTGTCTTATTTTTGCCTTAACGTTAAATCTTTGAGCCAAAGAAAAGTCGGAGGTGCCATTGAGGTGGTGGCGAGCAGGCCAATGACACATCTGGGTTTAGGAATCCTTCTGTCAGTCACCTCTGATGTCTCCTGCCCACAGCCCTGGAGCCAGCATGTGGTGCAGGCAAGAGCTGGGATGACAGCAAGTCGTGCTTTGGCGTTTCAGGTTCGCTCCTTTCTTTGGGCTAGTTCTGCCTGTTGGGCAATGCCCTGATGTTCCTGCCCGTGCAACACATCCACAGGGTAGAAATAACTGACACAAAGTGAGAGCTGAAACAGGAGATGCGAATTTCACTCTTTTTTAATAAATAAATAACAATAAATAAGCAGCAGTTAAGTGCCATGTGGAGCAAAAAGAAAGGAAATCAAAAGGAAGTTCATCAGGTAGGATGGAACGCAGCAAAACAATTCAGCGGGCGTTTCAGGTTTGTGAAGTTGTTCTTCTGTGGGGTTTTTCAAGTGGTCAGAAACCCATGTAATGCAAAAAGCATTTGAATCCTATACTGTACCTTTCACTTCAAATTGAAGTAAAAAGAAAAGATTGAGAAACATTTGCTTGGAGTAAGCAGACTTTATAGGTAATGCAGTTCGTATGCAAGACATCTGCTAATGATGGGGGGACAGAGCTCTGTGTTCACATAAATGCAGGTTACCAAACCAAGGGGATGTGTTTTGTTTCCCACTCAAGGGGAAAGGTTATTTGTGAGGCCAGGTTCCCATCCTGGCGACATCAGCATCAATCAGGGTCCCGGGTGTCTGACTTACTCCAGTGTGGATCTGGCCGGGCATCGCCAGGTGCTGGGGAGGGCGAGGGGTTGGGGTGGGAAGGGGAAGGGAAGAGTCTCTGTTCTGCTGACATGAATACAAAACTTGAACTCCTCAGTGCCTGCCCGTTTATTTCCCAAACACACACACACAAAACATGAGCTCACCAGAGCAGGGGCTGGGATGCCAGGCTGAATGGTCATGGTCTGCTCACTGCCAAGTCCTCTGGTCCCAGCGAGGACGGGCGAGCTCCCAGTGAGGATGCTCCAGGTGTCTTCTATGTGATTTCTGGGATGCACAGGGGATGGCTGTGTCCAAGCCCCCTCCCAAGAGCTCCTTATGCTGCTCACCCCTCCACCCTCACTGCCAGTCATTATTAGCAGCCCAATAAAGTGCGTTTTTAGATTGTCATTTGTATTTCTTTATTAAAGCACAGTTTTGAAGCCTGTCTTTCATTGCAATACATTAAACCCAACCTTTTAGCTTCTAACAGGTAGAGGGACTGAGCTCACAGACTGCAGGAAACCTCCAGAACTGTTTGCACCCATGGCAAGGGGTTGGGTTTAAAGTCCATTTGTTTTCAAGAGCCAACAAGCAGTTGGACCTTGTGAATGCGGCCCAGCCACAGAATGCGGTGAGAGAAAGGCAGCTGGAAGGCAGCAGAACACAAAAACAGCATCACAAGATGACCTGAAGGGGGAACTGCAGGTTTTGTATGGGGCTCTGCTAAAACTTTCCCATCTGGGTTTTGAGCAAGAGCAATGGAGGTGGCTCGGGGTTGTTGCTAAGGAAGCCCTGTGGGCATTTCTTTCTTTAAGCAGTCAGACATTCACTGGGCATTTTTAATGTGAGGAACACCACTGTATTTTAGCGCTGCAGTGGCTCTGTTTGTGGGAGTTAATAATTAGCAGGCAGGCAAGGTCTGCAGGCAGTCACAGAGTCAGCGATACAATACTGCTGATACTCTTTATTTACTCTTTTTTCCCCTTCCAATGCCAGCTATAGATAAGGCATTTGCTGTAAATACGTAAGTCCCAAGCTGGGCGGCATCACTGGGTTGCGACTGGGGCTTTAGGTCATGCAATATTCTTTGCCCCCCTGGTTAGGGAAACATTAACCCTTGGGATCAAGTTGCTTAATTACAGATTCCCCAAATTCACTTTGATTAAACATTCCCTGCTATTCCCACCCTACCGCTGCCCTCTAGTAAATGCAGGCAGAAAGTCCCTAGAAGTTAAATGAAATAAATTGGTTTGCTTGGTTTAAGTGAACAAGGCTCTGCAAGAGGCTGTGTGGATGCTTTTGCATCCCCAGTGAGACAAGAGGAGCAGCAATGGCCATCCATAACATCACTGTGCTCCCCAGCCTACTTCAACCAACCAACTCTGACAACAAGGAGGGTAAATCTGTACTGAACACATGAGTTTGACCACCACCATGGAGCTGACACTGCTTTCCTGGCCCCGCATGCACCCGGCGCCAGTCGAGGCACAGAGCTGACCTTGCCTCACTCCTCCCTAGCAAACATGCCGAGCGATCACTCTCCCCTGCAGATAACAGGGAAATGATGTTTGTTATCCTGCTGGAAAAGCAAAACAGCCCTCGTGCTGTCTCCTCCCCAGGGTCAGCAGACACAAAGCCTTGCTCCCAGTTGGTGCCAGCCCCCAGCTCCACGTCTTGGATGGGAGGGCACAGGAACCCTTACAACATAGCCCCCCCACAGGACCATGTGCAGGACCCACTGTGGGACAGAAGGGAGATGTTCATTATGCAAAGGGATGCTGAGAGGGCAGTGGGATTTGTGCTTTTCCCAGATGCTGAATGCCATATTAAACTAGAATGGCATGTATAACCACAAATCACGCACCAAGCCAATAACATCACCTCGAGATGAACTTGGGGGTGTTGGTCGATGAGAAATTGAACATGAGCCGGCTTCAGTGTGCGCTTGCAGCCCAGAAAGCCAACTGTATCCTGGGCTGCATCAAAAGGAGTGTGACCAGGAGATCGAAGGAGATGATCCTGCCCCTCTACTCTGCTCTCGTGAGACCTCACTTGGAGTATTGTGTGCAGTTCTGGTGTCCTCAACATAAGAAGGACATGGAGCTGTTGGAACAAGTCCAGAGGAGGCCACGAGAATGATCAGGGGACTGCAGCACCTCCCATATGAAGACAGGCTGAGAAAGTTGGGGCTGTTCAGCCTGGAGAAGAGAAGACTGCATGGAGACCTCATAGCAGCCTTCCAGTATCTGAAGGGGGCCTATAGGGATGCTGAGGAGGGACTCTTCATTAGGGACTGTAGTGATAGGACAAGGGGTAACGGGTTAAAACTTAAACAGGGGAAGTTTAGACTGGATATAAGGAGGAAATTCTTTACTGTGAGGGTGATGAGGCACTGGAATGGGTTGTCCAGGGAAGTTGGGAATGCTCCATCCTTGGCAATGTTCAAGGCCATGCTGAACAGAGCCTTGAGCGGCATCGTTTAGAGTGAGGTGTCCCTGCCCATGGCAGGGAGGTTGGAACTGGATGATCTTAAGGTCTTTTCTAACGCAAACTATTCTGATTCTATGTAAAGCACTGCACCCATTGCTCATACAACATCCGCTGCTCAGCTCACAGCTGTGGGGGTGAAGGGCATTAGCATTTCCCCTTATTTCTGATCTAACAATTGCTGAAGGAATTTAGTAGCCAGGGAGGTACCAAAGGTGAGGACCAAGGTGAGGGTCATCTTATGAATATGAAACCACAGACTTGTTCCAAGTACTGGAGAAGTCACCATCTACCTGCTTGTTAAATAAATGTCCTCGCAGCTGCCAAGTCCTTCGTGCATGAGGAGTCCTGCTCTGCACAGACACCTCTAAATCCAAACATCTTCAAGACAGGTTTTACATCAGCTTAACTTGCCAGGGGTTGAAAGGATGTCCATGGAGTCTCAAAAATACCATGTGCAGTAATCTGCCCGTTAAAGCCAGCTTCTTCTTTCTTTCAAGGGTTTTCTGTTGCTCAGCAGAGCAGCAGGAAAGAAGAAGGAGCTGTCCTACCATTTCTACACTTGAACACTGAGCTCCAAGTACCTTTCTGTATTGTAAGTAGCCCTCTGTGGACAAACACAATCACATTTACACAACTCCTGCCATGCCTCCATCTCTCTCTTCCCCCCATATACGGAATCACAGAATGGTCCGGGTTGGAAAGGGTCTTAAAGCTCTTCTAGTTCCAATCCCCCGCCATGGGCAGGGACACCTTCCACTAGAGCAGCTTGCTTGAAGCCCCTGTGTCCAACCTGGCCTTGAACACTGACAGGGATGGGGCAAGTATTCCCTCTCAGACTGACCCATCAGTATTTCCATGCCAGATAAAATCACTTGGACAGGATGGTGTTGGTCCCCATTGTTCCTGTTAATCATCCCTGCTCTAACTGGAATTTTTCCATAATGAAATAGGATGGCACAGGTAAAGCAAAGGCTTCTGCCCAAACCAAGTTGGCCAAGTGCAAACGATGTCCTATTGCTAACTCCCAGCAATGTACCCCTGAGGATATGCGCCAGCATATGTGATTTTCTCCTCATATAGTCACTTTGAGGTAATCAAAATTCCCATTACCCTGGGTGACGATGTCTTATCCTCATCCTGCTGCTGCGGAAAAAGGGACTTAATGTTGCAAATCCATGTTAGTGCTGGAGGGCTGCTGCATCCAGAGCCCAGAAAGCAGGTTAACCTGTCAGCAAAGGAAACAGCTTTGAGCCTGAACCATGCAGCAGATATAAAGTAGATGTTGAAAGAGAAGTCACCACTGAACTTTCTGATACAGTACTATAGGAAAAAGAAGTCCTGTTGCATCTACCCTCCACCTACCTGCCTTTCATACCAAAGTCTGAGATAATGCATCCTAGAGTGCCAGGATGCAGTGCCTAAATCAACCCATTAACCAACGTGCATCAACCCAGATTACTCATAAACTCATATGCATCAACCCGAATCACTCATAAAGCTGCACGTAAAGTTCAGGACTGGCCTTGCACCCCTTCTGTGTCCTTAATCCACACCCAGTGCTGCCTGACTGATACCAGCCCTAACACCTCTTCCCTACAATCTACCTACATTTGGTAGGGATCAACAGTCACCTTTCAGGGAAGGTTTAAAGTGCCTCAAAGCACTCGTATTACAAATCTTGGGCTGAGCCCAGCTCTTCCAAACTGGAAGGTGAGACACATCATTTTCATTGCTGGTGACCTGCTGGCCCAGCTCCGCTTGCTGCTTCCATTATAGGATTTACTCCTTCCATCTCCAGCCCTGGGGCCTGGAGAACCCTCTGCCCCATATAACTAACTAGGATACCCATCATCTAAGCAAGACAAAGTGGATCCCTCTTCCTAGCTGTATGCTTTGTTGAATACAATTGTCATACACATGTACATCGTACACACAAAACTGTATGAAGAGGGCTTCCACCTTGGTTTTTGGATGTGATATTTCACTAACTCAACCAGATTTCAGTAGGAGTTTCCTGCCCCTGGCTGCTACATGTCCCAGTGGCACCAGTCAAACTGCAGCTGGATGTGTATTGTAATTATTAGTAATTGTATTCACTTACTCCATATAAAAATATCAGCACAGTAACATGAATGATTTGTGCAATGATATATTTGCTGCTATTAGGACCTAATACGTTATGCCTGTAATTACATACTATGTCCCATATAATAGGCCTGGAATTGCTGTGTAAATTTTGGGTAATTACAGAAAACTATGCTACAAACAGGTCCCCCAAGACTAAGTTGAGCATTCACTACCAGGAAATAACCATTATTAAAGGCTCTGCAATAGACAAACCAATAGATTGGAGCCAAAAGCCATCTCAACATACAGCTGTAAAGATGGAGACAAAGAAAGCATGTGAGTGTATTAGGGGGAGAAATAACAAGGGGAGCAAGAGTAGTACAAGTCCAGGTAGTGTTATCCACGAGGGATATTTCTTCTAACTCTGATTGCAGCAATACTCTGGAATAAATCCGAAGAACCTCCAGTGAGTGCAATGTAAACTCCAAGTAGCACAAACCCATTCAGATGCAACTGTTTCAAAGCATTTAGAAGCCGTGGTCATCATTAAAAGAGAAAGTTATAATGTTTGCATCTAAATTAAAAGCCTGCCAGAGGTCATTGCAGCTTAATGCATAGTCAGGCTTTTCTAACTCGGCTGGGAACACTGACATTGATTAAGATTTATCCCCTCCTCCCAGATCCAAGAGCTTTTCCAGGTTTCAAAGCACTTTTCTTTGGGTGAAGCTGCTTCTTCCCCTCCTCACTCCACTATCTGCACATATTCCATCTAAAATCAATAGCAATGCAGCAAGTTGCCCTGTGGGCTTCTTGCAGTTGTGAGTGTTTCTCCCAAGGATGGGATGTGATAGGAAGAAATGAGATCAGCCATTTCTATGGCTGA